TATGAATGCTACTCATCTCTGTGTGAGTGTGTGGGGGGTGTGTGTGTAACTTTTACCACCAGAGGAGGAAGAAGTCAAGGGAACGTAGGTCAAATAGGATGGGACAGCTAATTTCCTAGAAGGCAGAAATGCAACAAGAACAGCCCAGATAGGCTGGAGAAGGTAAGAAAATGGCATTTTAAATTATTTACTTAGGAAACAAAGATGAAAAGGGTGAGCATAGAAGGGGGTCCCAGGGTTAGCAACAGGATTTGTGAAGAAGGTTGTGGCATCCTTTCAGAGCCCCCCAAGTGAGCCAGAAGGTGCCGTATTAGGCAGACCCTGTTCCTCGTCTCCTGTACTGGGCAGGTCCCCCTCGTGGTTTGGGTTGAGCCCTGGGGATCCTGGTGGGGAGGCATTTGAGGAAACTGCAAGAGGTTTAGAGGGGAAAAAAAGAGAAGCCCTCCAAAACATCCCAAGTAAACCAAAAGACTCAGCAGCCCCCCCCCAAAAAAACAACAAAAAACCAGGAGTCATCTACAACAAGCAGGCAGAAGACCAGCAGAGTTCATCCATGAACATCAACTAGCAGTCAGAAGACATGATGAAAACTCTTTCATTTCACGACATATGGACAGACTTAGCCATAATTTCAACTGGGAAATTGTGAGACCATCCTAAACCAAGCCAAGTCCAAAAAGAGAATTCCTGGAAGCCTGGCAAAGTAGCCATCAATAGACATAATATCTACATCAGTGGTGAAATCCAATTTTTTTTACTACTGGTTCTGTGGGCGTGGCTTGATGGGCATGGCAGGGGAGGGATACTGCAAAATCTCCATTCCCACCCCATTCCAGGGGAAGGATACTGCAAAATCCCCATTCCCTCCCCACTCTGGGACCAACCAAGGAAGCGGTTGTAAGGCCCCTCCTCAAGAGGCCTTCCCTGGATCCAGCAGAATTAAAGAACTTTCGTCGAGTCTCCAACCTAGCCTTTGTGGGAAAGGTTGTAGAGAAAGTGGTGGCACTTCAGCTCCTGCGGTCATTGGAGGAAACGGATTATCTAAACCCTTTTCAGTCTGGCTTCAGGCCTGGCTACAGCATGGAAACTTCTTTGGTCACACTGATGGATGATCTTTGGTGAGCCTGAGATGGGGGTCATTCCTCCATCTTGGTGCTACTTGACCTCTCAGCGGCTTTCGATACCATTGACCATGAAATCCTTCTGGGATGACTAAAGGAGTTGGGAGTGGGAGGCACCGTGTTACGGTGGTTCTCCTCCTATCTCTCTGGTCGGTCACAGTCGGTGGGAGGACAGAGGCCAACCCCTAGGCCCCTCATTTGCGGGGTGCCTCAGGGCTCGGTCCTCTCTCCCCTCCTATTTAATATCTACATGAAACCGCTGGGTGAGATCATCCGACGATACAGGGTGAGATATCAGCAATACGCGGATGATACCTAGCTGTATATCTCTACCCCGCGTCACTTCAGTGATGCAGTGGATGTGATGTGCCAGTGCCTGGAGGCTGTGAGGGTCTGGATGGGAGTCAACAGGCTCAGACTTAACCCAGACAAGACCGAGTGGCTGTGGGTATTGCCTCCTAAAGACCATGCTGATTGTCCATCCTTGGTTCTGGGAGGGGAGAAATTGTCCCCCTCAGAACGGGTTCGCAATTTGGGTGTCGTCCTAGACTCACAGCTTAGATTAGAGCAACATCTGACAGCTGTGGCTAGGGGGACCTTTGCACAGGTTCGCCTGGTGCACCAATTGCGACCCTACTTGGATCGGGAGGCTCTCCTCACAGTCACTCATGCCCATGTCACCTCACGGTTAGATTATTGCAACACGCTCTAAATGGGGCTACCCTTGAAAAGTGTTCGGAGACTGCAGTTGGTCCAGAACGCAGCCGCACGAGCTGTCGTGGATGCATCTAGATACACCCACATTACACCAATTCTCCGCGAGCTGCACTGGCTCCCTGTCAGTCTCTGGTCCCAATTCAAAGTGTTGGTTATTACCTTTAAAGCTCTACATGGCTCAGGCCAGGTTATCTTCGAGACCGCCTTCTACCGCATAGCTCCCAGCGACCGGTAAGATCCCACAGAGTTGGTCTCCTCCGGGTCCCATCAGCTTAACAATGCCGGCTGGCAAGCCCGCGGGGGAGGGCCTTCTCTGTGGCTGCCCCAGCTCTCTGGAACCAGTTACCTCCTGAGGTCTGGAACACCCCCACCCTACTGGCCTTCCGAAAAGCGGTGAAGACCTGGCTTTTCTGGCAGGCCTGGGACTGTTGATCTCGCTTTGTGATCTGGCGAGATCCGGCCATGAATGGTGTGAATGTGTTCTAAGGTTTTTCATGTTTTTTAATCTTTTAAATGTTTTTAGAATGGTTTTTTTTTAAATGTATTTTGAGCCGCCCTGAGTCTCCGGAGAGGGGCGGCACATAAATTTAATAAATAAATAAATAAACCAGAGATGTTATTTGCCAGTTCTCCAAACTATTCGAAATTTCTGCTACCGGTTCTCCAGAACCTGTCAGAACCTGCTGGATTTCACCCCTGATCTACATGCTGCATACAAAAGGGACAATCAACAAACCAAAAAGGAAACAAAATGACCAAACACCTCCCCACCACTATTGATATCCAGATGAGCATAGTTTAACACTAAAATTAACATCAGACCAACAATCAAGAAGTAAACATCCCAATCTGCCAAACAAGCGAACAGTAAACAGCCCAACCAAAGAGCCTCCGAGATCAGCCCCATCAGCATTCAGAGCAAGTCACTAGAATATAAAATGAGAGCAAACCCCTCTCTTTAGTAGCACTGATGAAGTTGCCTAGTTTGTGTAATGAAACGTCTGCAAGAAAACAACCAAGCTCAGAGAACACCAAGGACCCCACAGTGCTCCTCCTCCTCCTCCAAGCCCCCTCCCTGCAAGCACTGATTGTTAGATACTGACAGCCTGGAAGGTTTTCTATCAGGTCCTGTGTTTGAGCAGGAAAATACTCAAACGTGATTGGTTGAAGCCCCTGACAGCTGCCTATATAAGAGGCAAGCTGCCAGATTGTAGATAGTTGTCAAATAAAGAACTGTTGTCTGAAGCCTGTTCCAGTGTCTTCACTCGCCCAACTTAACCCTGATGATGTTACCTACTTTGGGTAATGAGACATCTGCAAGAAAACAACCAAGCTCAGACAGCACCAAGGACCCCTTGTTTAGAGAAGTCACAAGAAGGGTCAAGGGTCAAGGAACTGGGAAGGTTCAGTCTTCAAATTCCAGGAAGCCTGGCACAATCGCTCCTCCCTGGCCAGAGACCTTTGGAGGCTTCCCCATTAAAAAAAGACCATGCTAGATTGGAGGAGTTCAGAGGAGGGGGGAGGGGAATGGAGAGGGCTCCAGAAAGGAAGCTGTTGGAAGAGAGGTAAAAACACACAGGTATATTTGGCCTATAAACAAAGCAATTAAGGGGGGAAGGCCAGAGAGGGAACAGCTGTCTCCAAGCACCCGGAGAGCTGCCTGGCAGCAAAGGGGATGGGCTCGGCTCCTTGGACTGGGAGGGCAGGAGAGAAGAGGGTCAGGCCAGAGGACTAGAGAGAGACAGTCATTCTGCAAAAAGCCTGCCCTGGTGGGTGGGCTGAACACTCAATAAGAGTTCTTCACATAGGAAGATGTGCCAGGTACAAGCAACCTGATCCACAGGTGTACAGTCCAAATGAAGTACTTCATTGTATTCTGCCTATAATACAGGAATCTTCCCCAGGGTGATTGCCTTCCCTTGGGAAGAGACAGATAAGGCTCTGTGAAGCTTGGGGGAGGGGGTCAGTCCTGGATCTCTTGTGGCTGTGCAAGGACTGGTGGAGGCTAACTGCCTGCTTAATCTCTCCTCCTCATCTGGCTGGAAGTTTCCCAACGGGATGGTCCTCTGTTAGGGTTGCTAAGGCCTTTCCAACTCCGGGATGCCGCAAGAGCCAGGCCTGATCCTGCTCAGGGCCAGCATCTCCCGAGACAGGTGGATTCTGCGTGTGCTTCAATGAATACAATCAGGGAACATGACCCCATGTAGAAGGTGAGGCCCAGAGATCCAAGTGGCCCATATTGACCTTCTTGGCTCAGTGGGTTTCCCAGAGCCAGACTCCATTTTCCAGAACTGAGCCAGGGAAGAGACTCCCTGCGGGCAGAGGTCAGGCAGGGCATCAGCCAGTTGAAAGAATCCTGCATCCTGTGAACAAACCAGCCGCCTTAGGAGGAAGGCCAGCAAAATGGATGACCCTGCTCAATTCCCAGTATTCATCTCTCACCAGACGCCACGTGGAAGAGCGCAATCTAACAACCGTTAGCCCGCGATCACCGTCTCAGAGGCTTGAATGGGTCACAGTCCGCCGTCCAAGCCGAAGGAGGGGCTCCCCTTCCCGGCCATCTGTCTCCCGCCCCCCCGAGCACCCCCGAAAGGACGCTCCAGGGGCCACTCTCCCCCACGGCCCCATCCAAAGTGGGCCGGTTGCACGCCTACTGCCGGAAGCGGGGACCCCTTAGTCCCAAGGCCGCGGGGCGGTTGAGCAGCGCCCTCCCCCCAAAGGCGGCGTCGGAGGAGACTCAAGGGGGAGAGGCAGAGGCTGGGTCCGCGCAAGCGCAGCTGCCCGAGAGAGGAGCCCGAGCCCGGGGCTTTTCCCAGGCGGGGCGGAGGGGCGGAGGGGCGGCGGGCAGGGGCCGTTTGCCGAGCAGGGCGCTGCGCGCTCTTCCCCGGAGCGGATCGAAGGAGCCGAGCTCGGCCTGGACGCTGCGGCCCGGGCTTGGCGCACGGGGCTCCGCCGCTGGCAGGGCGAGGTTGGCGGTGTGGCGCGGAGGCAAGCCGGGCGGCGGCCTCATCTCCTGCGCCCCCCCCCCCCCCCGGCCTCGCCCGCCAAGCTGGCCTCCCGACGGAGGACGGCTCGGCTCGGCTCGGCTCGGCTCTGCTCTGCGGCAAAGGCTCCGTCCCCGCTGCGCTCAGCTGCCCCCCTCGCCTCCCGCCTCGCCCTCACCTGCCGTGGCCGCTGGCGGGCTCCGCGTCGACTGCTGGGAGCGGACTCGGCGACCCCCACCGCACCGGCCGGCGCCGGGAACGCGGGCGGGCTCCCCAACTGCCGCGGCCCGGGAACCAACGCAGGCGCGCGCCTCGGTCCAGATGGCCGGCAGGGAAGCAGCGCCGCGACTGACGGGCAGGGTCGATTCCCGGCCTGACTGAGCCCGCCTCCCCCCCCCCCCCCCCCCAGACCCCGCGCACCCGCAACAGCGCCCGGGGTGCCCCCCCCCCCCCTTTCTGCCTGTTCCCAAGGGACGGCAATCCCCCTGGGCAGATTCCTGCATTATAGGCAGAATATTAAGTAGTTCGCTTGTAGCGTAGCCCCCTGGCCCAGGTCGCTGGTGCCTGCCACATCCTCCTGTGTGAAGAGCTCTTGTTGGGCAAGGTGGCTGTGCCCAGGAAATGAATGGTGGCCTGTGCTCAAATCATCTGGCCTGCCCTCTGGGCCCAAGGAGCGGAGCAGCCCATCCCCTTTGCTGCCAGGCAGCTCTCTGGGTGTTGGAAGAGAGCTCTTCTCTTTCCCCCTCTCTGATCAACACACGTTCATCAATTGTCCCACTAGAGGCAAGAATACTTTACACCATTGCTACACAACACTAAAAGATGCTTATCGGTCTTCACCACCAGCAGCTGTAGGACAGTCCTACTTCAGAGGATCATTAGAACGGCAGAAAAAACAATGGCTACCAACCTGCCTTCCATTGCGGGCCTGTATACTGCACGAGTCAAAAAGAGGGCTGGGAAAATATTTTCAGACCCCTCGCATCCTGCACATAAACTGTTTCAACTCCTACTCTCAAAACGATACTATAGAGCACTGCACACCAAAACTAGACACAAGAAGAGTTTTTTCCCAAACGCCATCACTCTGCTAAACAAACAATTCCCTCAACACTGTCAAACTATTCACTAAGTCTGCACTACTGTCAGGTTTTCAGGCCGTCTTCGAATAAATTGCGTCTCAAACAAAGTCTTTTTTGAAACAAACTTCCATTTTATTTAGCACGGCAACTTTTACACTGACTCCATGCAGCCAGCACTGAGGTGCTGACCCAAAACCCCTCCTCTTCCTTCCCCCACTCCTCTGCATTCATTGGCCATCTTCCCAATCATTCACCCCTAATCTACTGCTTCAACTCAAAGAATTTCCCCCCTTCCATCCATCTCCTAGGGGACATTATCTCCAGCTAAAATAAGTATGTGAAAGGCAACCGTCCTGTTGCAGACACTTGCGTTCTCCTTCTCATGTCAGCACTAGGATAAATGCATCTTGACGTGCTGACAACTACTATTAATATTCTCATCATCTCATCATTCCCATCACCCAAGTCCTCCCACTTATGACTGTATGACTGTAACCTTGTTGCTGGTATCCTTACGATTTATATTGATATTGTTTCCTGATTGCTTATTTGTAACCTATGACTATTATTAAGTGTTGTACCTTATGATTCTTGATGAACTTATCTTCTATTTTATGTACACTGAGAGCATATGCACCAAGACAAATTCCTTGTGTGTCCAATCACACTTGGCCAATAAAAATTCTATTCTGTTCTATTCTATCTGCATTATGATTGCATGTTCAAAAATGTTTTATTGACCAGAGTATGCAATCAAACAACTTTGGTGACTACTCCTCCAGGGTATCCACTACTCCAACATGAATCTGGAATGCAACAGGTACAATGAAAGGCGCACCGTTGGGGTGATGGGCCGCGCTTTCCTTCCCCTTCGTGAAGAGCCTGGCATTCTCTTGTGGGCTCCATTTTGTTTGACTCCTTTCCAGAATTCATCCATATTTCTGCCTGTTATTAAGCCATGCCCAATTCTGAATGAATTTACAGATTGTTTTATTAGATTAGATTAACAGAGTTGGAAGGACCTTAAGGTCATCTAGTCCAACCCCCCTCCCTGCTCAAGCAGGAGATCCTGCACCATTTCTGACAAATGGTAGTCCAATCTCTTCTTGAAAATATCAAGGGATGAAGCTCCCACAACTTCCAAAGGCAACTTCTGTTCCATTGGTTGATTGTTCTCACTTGAGAAATTTCCTCCAAACCAGACAGTTATAGAGGTGCAGATGACAGACTCAATAATTCCTCTGTAGAACTGTATCAGCAGCTCCTTGGGCAGTTTGAGCTTTCTGAGTTGGCGCAGAAAAGACATTCTTTGTTGTGCTTTTTTGATGACGTTTTTGATGTTAGCTGTCCATTTTAGATCTTGCGATATGGTAGAACCTAGAAATTTGAAGTCTCTACTGTTGATACTGTGTTGTCTAGTATTGTGAGAGGTGGTAGTATGGGAGGGTTTCTCCTGAAGTCTACCACCATTTGTACGGTTTTGAGTGTGTTCGGTTCCAGATTGTTCCGGTCGTATCACGAGGCTAGTTGTTCAACCTCCCATCTGTATGCGGATTCATCATTGTCTCGAATGAGACTGATCACTGTTGTGTCATCTGCGAACTTCAGCAGTTTAACAGATGGATCGTTAGAGATGCAGTCATTGATATACAGAGAGAAGAGAAGCGGGGAGAGCACACAGCCTTGGGGGGCCCTGTGCTAATTGTACAGGTATCTGATGTGATTCTGCTTAGCTTCACCTGCTGCTTCCTGTTTGTTAGGAAGGTTATGATCCACTTACAAGTGTGTGTTCGGGTACCTGTAGCTGGTTTAGCTTAGTTAGAAGTGTGTCTGGAATGATGGTATTGAATGCTGAACTAAGGTCTACAAAGAGGACCCTTGCATAGGTCTTTGGAGATTCAAGATGTTGTAGGATGTAGTGCAGAGCCATATTAACAGCATCATCTGTTGATCTATTTGCTCGGTATGCAAATTGCAAGGGGTCTAACAGCGGATCCGTGATGGTTTTCAAGTGGGACAGCACTAGCCTTTCAAAGGTTTTCATGACTACAGATGTTAAAGCAACTGTCTGTAGTCATTCAGTTCCTTGATGGTGGGCTTCTTCGGCACTGGGATGATAGTAGAGCGTTTGAAGCAAGAAGGAACATAGCACATCTCTAGCGATTTATTGAAGATACGGGTGAAGATGGGGGCCAATTGGTCAGCACAGACTTTTAAGCAAGAAGGAGTTATCTGGGCCTGGAGCTTTTCCTGGCTTTTGTCTGTGAAATAGGTCTTGCACTTCCTTTTCTGTGATCACTAGGGGTTGTGAACCCAATGGGATGGGGTCAGTTGTAGGAGGCTTGGCTGTTGTTGGTGTGTCTGAGATGGGGGTTACGGAGATAGGTGGCTGTAGTTTCCTTTCAAACCTGCAGTAAAATACGTTCAGGTCATCTGCCAGTTGCTGATTTCCTTCAACCTGGGAAGGAGGTTTGCCGTAGCCGCTGATATTTTTAAGAGGTTTCCACATGTTTGCTGGTTCATTTGTTGAGAACTGATTCTTTAGCTTTTCAGAGTAGCTCTTTTTTGCTGCTCTGATCTCCCTTGTTAATACATTTCTGGCCTGATTGTACAGCATTTTAACAACTTTTCTGTAGGCTTCCTCTTTGGAACGACGTAGCTGCTTAAGTTTAGCTGTGAACTAAGATATGTTGTTACTGTATATTCGCAAGTTCCTGGTCGGTACACATAGGTCTTCACAGAAGCTGACATATGATATTACAGCAGGAGTGAAATCTAAAAATTTTCGCTACCGGTTCTGTGAGCGTGGCTTAATTGGTGGGTGTGGCTTGGTAGTCAGATGGGCGTGGCCAAGTCGACATCACTTCTTTGCCCTTTTTTAACCTACACAACACAACACAACACAACTGGCTCACCCACAATGTAAAAGCAGCTGTGCTAGACCCAAAATGGCCCCTGCAACAAGCAAGAACCTCAGACAACTACAAAAAGGCCCAAAAACCAACTTTCACACTTTACACACACAAAATTCCACATACAGCTTTGTTAGATTTTGTGTGTTTGTGTAGTTAGAGTGAAACACTACAGAAACACACAAAATCTCAGAAAGCTGCACAAATATTATTTTATTTTTATTTTTATTTTTATATAAAAGCAGCTAAATTTAAAACTTCCTAAACTTTAAATGGCTAGGTCTAAAAAAACAACAACTAAAAAAACCCCCAATTAACTATTTTTTTTAAAGCTCCCAAAGGGGAAAAAAACTTACAGGCAGGCAGGCAGGCAGATAGAGCTGCTCACCGACGAGCTTGATTGCAGGCAGGGAGATTCAGTTGCTTGCTGATGCAATGGATTGCAGGGATTACAGCAAGCGAAGCAAGGCAGGCGTTGCAAGCAGTGGCTCAGGATTCAGTCCGAAGAGCGAAGGTAAGCAAGCTGGAGGCTGGGTGGGGGAAGGGATTTTTGCTACCAGTTCTCCAAACTGCCCGCCGCTATCGCTACCTACACGCTCGAGCCGGTCCGAACGGGAGCATTTCACCCCTGGAATGAACTTTTCTAGTGGTTTGGATGATGATTAAGATAGAAGAAACTGTTGGAACAAGAAGAATAAAAAGAACTGAAGAAGTTAACACCAAGATGTCACAGGGGAGGGATGATTAATGTATTAAATGTTTGTCTTAAAAAATAAAAAACTTTAAAAAAGAGTGATGGCTCTGTGCTCATCTGCGCTGATTATAAGTGCACATTGAACAAGGCACTTCAGCAGAGCGTGTACCCAATACCCATAGTCCAGCACCTTCTGCATTCCCTGGGCCCCGGAAGGATTTTCGCAAAATTGGACCTTGTGCTGCCTGTAGATGGCGCTACTTGGGGAGTGCCACAAGGGTTGGTCCTCTCGCCCCTCCTGTTCAACATTTATGTGAAGCCGCTGGGTGAGATCATCCGTGGTTTTGGGGTGAAGTGTCATCTGTACGCTGATGATACTCAGCTGTACATCTCCACCCCAGACCACCCTAACGATGCTCTTGATGTGATGTCTCGCTGCCTGGAGGCCGTGCGGGTCTGGATGGGGAGGAACAGGCTCAGACTCAACCCCTCCAAGACCGAGTGGCTGTGGCTTCCAGCACCCCGACACAGTCAGCAGGTGCCATCGCTGACTATTGGGGGTGAATCTTTGCCCCCCACAGAGAGGGCTCGCAATCTGGGTGTCCTCCTGGATGCACAGCTGTCTTTAGAAGAGCATATGACGGCCGTGGCCAGGGGGGCCTTTTATCAGGTTCGCCTGATCCGCCAGTTGCAGCCCTTTCTGGACCAGGACGCCCTGCGCACGGTCACTCACGCCCTTGTTACCTCCCGGTTGGACTATTGTAATGCTCTCTACATGGGGCTCCCCTTGAAGAGCACTTGGAGGCTCCAACTGGTCCAGAATGTGGCTGCGCGGGTGGTTATGGGCGCAACTCGTTGCGCCCACGTGACACCCCTCCTGTGCGAGCTGCACTGGCTCCCAGTGGTCTTCCGGGTGCGATTCAAGGTGTTGGTCACCACCTTTAAAGCGCTCCATGGCATAGGACCCGTGTACCTTTGAGACCGTCTTCTGCCACCAATAGCCTCCCACCGACCAGTCCGCTCCCACAGAGAGGGTCTCCTCAGGGTGCCATCGGCCAAGTTATGTCGGCTGGCGACACCCAGGGGGAGGGCCTTCTCTGTGGGAGCCCCAGCCCTGTGGAATGAACTGCCCCTGGAAATACCTAAGATCTCCGATCTCCGGGTGTTTCACTGCGCACTGAAGACCCTGTTGTTCCGCCAGGCCGGGCTATCAACATAATAATTTTAAATTGGGGTATTTTAAATTTCTGGGTTTAAATTGAGCCAAATCTATTTAATCATTTTAAATTTTAATCGTTGTTTTGTCTTGTGTTTTTAAATAGGCTGTACACCGCCCTGAGTCCTTCAGAAGAAGGGCGGTATTGAAATAAAATTATTATTATTGTTGTTATTGTTGTTGTTGTTGTTGTTATTATTATTATTATTATTATTGCCAAGGCTCAAACCATTGTAACGCACAGAAGGGCATTCAAATGTCACCGTTAACAATTTGGCGTTAGCGTTGCCCCGGGTCTTTTCCAGAGTGTGATGGAAAGACTATTGCAGAAAATTCCCGGGGTAGTGCCATACTTCGATGATGTTCTAATTACTGCTGGTGACGAGCAGCAACTTTGCTCCCATTTGATGGAGATGCTATCAAAGTTTAGGCCTGCGGGGCTCCGAGGGAAAGGCAGCAAATGCCAGATCGGAGTTCCTGAAGTAGAGTTCCTGGGGTACAGAATAAATGGGGAAGGCATACATCCTACCCAAAGCAAGGTCGGGGCAATCCAGGAAGCCCCAGCTCCATGGAACCAGACTGAATTGCAAGCTTTCCTGGGCTTGCTCAACTTCTATAGCGTTTTTCTGGAAAAAAAAAAGGCCACCGTGGCTGAACCGCTTCACAAACTACTGGCAAAGAAGAGCCTTTGGGTCTGGGGGCACAAAGAAGCTACTGCTTTTGCTGCAGTTAAATGCCTCCTTTCAGCTGACAGTTTTTTAATTCAGTACAATGACACTCTACCATGGGTACTAGTTTGTGACGCCTCTCCTTTCGGTGTGGGGGCTGTGCTTAGCCACCATCTCCCTAATGGGACCGAGGCCCTGGTCGCCTATTTTGAATTGGTTATGGACCACAAGCTGCTTTTGGGACTCTTGGCGGGTGACCGCCCTATACCGGTGGCCTTGTCACCCCATCTTCTTGTCGGCATACCGCTACAAACTGGTGCACCAGCCCGGAAAGACTTTGGGACATGCCAATGCCCTCAGTAGATGCCCCCTGCCTGGTTTATTGGATGACCCGACCAAGGCCATTCCTGTTCTCCTTATTGACTGCCTGGACTCTGGCCTCGTGACATCTGCCTCTGTGGCTCAGCACTCGGCTAAAAGTGCAATATTCAAAAAACTTTTGAACTGGGTTTGGAAGGGATGGCCAAAGGGCCCATTTGGCGCAGAGTTTAAGCCATTTGCGGTTTGACAACACGAGATATCAGAACAAGGGGAGTGTTTATTATGGAGGGACCGGGTAATTTTACCGCCAAGTCTAAGGTATTCTATACTAAATGCATTGCATGAGAGCCATCCGGGAATTGTCCGGATGAAAGCCCTGGCCAGAAGTTTTGTGTGGTGGCCCAACATGGATCAGGAAATACAGGAATGGGTAGCAAAGTGCCAACTTTGTCAGGAGTTACGGCCCGCTCCACCTAAGGTACCCATCCAAGAGTAAGATTGCCCTCGAACCCCCTGGTCTAGGATCCTCATCGATTTTGCTTGGCCCTTTCATGGCCAAACATTTTTAGTGGTCATGGATGCCTACTCCAAGTGGATGGAGATCATCCTAATGGGCACCACTACGGCGGACACAGTCATCAAAGTGCTCCGCAAACTATTCACCAACCACGGTCTGCCTGATGTCCTCGTATCGGACAATGAGACACAATTTACGGCCACCCAGTTTGAGGGGTTTCTGGCAGAATTCAGAATACACCATGCCCTCATAGCAACTTTTCATCCAGCCAGTAACGGACTGGCTGAGAGGTCTGTTAGGTCTGCCAAAGAGGACTTGGGCAGGTGGGCACCCGGTGATTGGCAAGAGAGGGTAGACAAATTCCTCCTGTACCAACACATAACACCCAGTGTGGTCACAGGTAAAAGCCCAGCAGAGCTTCTGATGGGTCACAGGCTTCTATCAGTCTTAGACTGTCTGCACCCAAACTATGCCCCCGAAACAACAAACGAAATGCAGAACCGCACCAGGTCCTTTAGCATCGGGGACCTGGTTCACTCCCAAAACTTTGCTGAAGGACCCCTATGGCTACCTGGCAAAATAGAAAAAATCATAGGGCCCAAGTCGTATATAGTTAGGCTAAACGACAGGCGCCAATGGAGGCGGCACATAGACCAACTATGTAGCCACCTCAGTCCAAACAACAAAAATCTAGAAATTAACTCTAATCCCTTCCTAGCAGACTGAAGCCCGATGGAACTGGAGAATGCACCTGAAGAACTGGGAATCCAGCGACGCTCCTCCAGTGAACCGGTTCCCTTAGAATCCAAGGCCCTGCCTGAAAGTTTCCAGGACTTTCCAGGGGCGGAGCAAGAGGCAGCAGCAGGCACAACCTCTCAGCCTGCTGCCGCCACGCCAACTGAGCCGTGCAGGTCAAGTAGAGGTAGCAAACGCCCCGCCTACCTGTGCAACTATGTATGTAAATTGGATTGCTCCAACTAGTAGGGGAGGGGTGTTAGATATTGACAGGATGGTTTTCCCTCTAGTCCGCTGTTTAGGTGGGAAGAATACTTAAATGTGATTGGCTGGTTTCCTGACAGCTCCCTATAAAAGGGCTGGCTGCCAGAGAGGCTAGCTGCTGGATTGTAAATAGTTGCTGAATAAAGAGCTGTTGTCTGAAGCTTGTCTCCAGTCTCTTCAATCCACCTATCTAACACCTCCTGGCCAGCTGTGGCTGGGCTGGGAGGGTGTGCATGAGAGGAGGAGGAGGGGAAGAGGAGAAGGAAAGCCTCCATCGTGGCTTGCGCTCATTTCTCAGCCAGCCCAGATTTCCAAAAAGAAGAAAGAAAAGGAGTAGCAAAGAGCCCCAAGGAGAGCTTGCTGGGCTTTCCGAGAGAGTGAGAAGCTCCTTTTCTTTCTTCTTGGCAACTTTTTGGAAATCGGGGCTGGCTGAGGAACAAGCGCGAGCCACGGCAGAGGCTTCCCTCCTCCTCCTCCTCCTCCTGCTCCTCTCGTAACCCTCTGGCCAGCTGTGGCAGGGTCGGGAGCATGCACACAAGCAGGGAGACCCTCCTCAAGTGAGCGGCTGGGCTTGGCCAAAGCACATTAAAGGTGCGAGCGGGGAGCCGGGCGCTCGCTTGAGGTCTCCCTGCGTGTGTGCATGCTCCCGGCCCCGCCACAGCTGGACTGAGGGTCGCGAGAGGAGGAGGAGGGGGAGGAGGAGGGAAGCCTCTGCCGTGGCTTGTGCTTGTTCCTCAGCCAGCCTGAATTTCCAGAAAGTTGCCAAGAAGAAAGAAAAGGAATAGCAAAGAGCCCCAAGGAGAGCTCGCTGGACTTTCCGAGAGTGAGAAGACACACACACAGACATAGAGATAGAGAGATACACACACACACACACAGAAACACACACAGTGGGGAGAGAGACAGAGGGGGAGGGAGAGGGGGAGAGAGAGACATAGAGAGCCACAGAGAGGGGGGGAGAGAGACAGAGGGAGACAGATACAGAGAGGAGGGAGAGAGAAGGATTTTGTGGTTCCTGGTGTGGTGTTTTTTAACAACCGGTTCTCTGCCCTAATGACCTGCTGGGTAGGCATGGCTAGGGGGTCATGTTACTGGGTGGGAGTGAGTGACGTGGAGTTGGCCCACCCAGGTATTGTGGCTCCCAGTGTTTTTATTTTTCTGTGGGAAACAGATCCAAATGGCTCTTTTGAGTGTTTAAGGTTGCAGACTCCTGGTCTAAAGTGTTCTTGCCTCTAGTGGGACAATTGACATGCTGAAAGTATTTTGGTAGCTCTTTCCTTAAGTTTGCTTTGTTTAGATCTCCCAAAATAATGGCCAGTGAATCGGGCTATTTGGCTTCAGCCTCCATAATCTGGTCAGCTAGAGTTCGTAATGCCTTGTTTACACAGGCTTGTGGGGGGACATAAACAGCAATTAGTAGAATTGAGAAGAACTCGCGTGGACAGTAAAATGGTTTACAGTTGATAAGTAAAGACCCTAAGTTTTCATCACAGAATTTATATATTATAGTTATATCCTGAGATCAGCTGTTGTTGATATATAAGTATAAGCCTCCTCCCTTCTTTTTACCTGATGATTCTGCAATTCTGTCTGCTCTGTGTATCTGAAACCCTGGAATTTGCATGCTGTTGTCAGCAATATCATCATGTAACCAAGTTTCAATAAAGTATAGGGCAGCTGCGCTGTGAAAATCAGAGTGGCATCTGTTTAAAAGGAGTATTTCATCCATCTTGTTAGCAAGTGAACGTAAATTTGTCAGGAAGATCGAAGGCAGAGCAGTTCTATTTCCCCTATTCCTTAGCTTGTTTAAAATTCCCGCCCTTTTACCTCTTCTCCGTTTCCTCCGTTTGGTTTTCTTGGTAATCCATAGCTCCGGGGAAATTGCTTCTTCCTGTGTTAGAATCTCCTCCGCATTTGTAAAGATGGGTTGGGGTGGGGTGGGGTGGTGGGGGTTTGAGATCACAGAAAGCTGCTCCTTAAAGAAATGTTGCTTAATTCTTAGCAGATGGTCTCCTGAGTAAGAAATCCATAGTGAGTCGCAGAGAATAATTAAAAATAAAGAAACCATTAGAGAGCATTTCACTGAGGCAGCCTTCGGTGGCGCCATCTTGGATCCATCTCAGTGGTGGGTTCCAACCGGTTCTCTTCACGCACGCACTTTTTGCGTGATCACCTTTTTTCCAGTCCTCTGGTAGTTCCCCGGTGTTCCAGGATTTTTGAAAGATGTGGTGCAATGGTTCTGAGATGACATCTGCCAGCTCCTTTAGATTTGTTCAGTTTGATTTTTTTATGATCAAAGATCAGATAATCATCAAAACTGCAGCACAGAAAAACAAAGAAAACATGCCATGGTCCACCTGGGAAAGTGCACAATAACACATATAAAGTAAAAAGTAAGGATATTAGATCAACAAAGCCAATAGTTGCAGCATTTTCACTGCAACTGCCTTGTAATTGCAGTTGTGTAGTGTGGACTGCACTCCTCATCAAGACAGGCATATGATAAAAGAAATTTTATACTAAAAATCCGTCTCTTCTCCCTGGGAATTACTGAACTCAGGTGCTGAGTCAAATTCTCAAATCTCTCTGTAAAAATTGCAGTAGAGGAATCCACACTGGGCAATTAATTTCAGCCCTGCCAGCATCTCAGGAGCTTTTATGTACACCAGGAATACAGGAAGATGGAGCCCCCACCTGAAAGGGCCGAGGGGGAGATGTGCTAAGGCGGGCCTGAAACAATCTTCCCTCACACCGGAGGACCTGAATGTGTTCGGCTGCTCTGCAGATTTCCCTGGTCCTAGAAAAGGCGGTTCTGAAGCTCTTCCTCCTCCAGCCTCCCATCAGTAATCCTTCTGGCCCCACCGACGGCAGCAGAAAGAAGGAAACCTTTGGTTAATCCCGGGGGATGCCATTTCAGCATTCAGCCCTGGCCGGCCTCGCGCCTGGGGAGGCTCTGAGCGGCAGAGGACAGAGCTCTGAGGGGTTCTCGGAAGCGCTCAGCCGCCCCTCCCCTCAGGAGCGGGCTGGGAAAGCTCCAGGGCCCCCCTGTTGAAGGGGCCGTGGGGGGTGGGGGGGTAGGGGATCCCACCACCCACGCCACGCGTGCCCCCGCTGATCCCATTTTGGGGGGCGCAGGTGCCTCGGTCGCCAGCCCAGACCCACAGCCCAGCCTCCGCCTGAGGGACCCCCTCCCGCCTCCAGGCAACGGGTACAGCAGCGGCCCGACAGTCGAGTCGGGGATATTGCTAAGACTCGGCTTCTCCACATCGGGGCGGGGTTTCGTGGCCGAGGGGCGGGGCAGCGGGGGTCTATTTGCCTCTTCTGGGACTCCCAGCCGCAGCGGTGCTGGGAATTGTAGTTCGCTCCGTAGCCTGGTGAAGAAGCTGCCGGACAGTAGCCCCCCCCTTGGGAAAGCTCAGTTGTCGCAAAGGGCTGTGGGGGTTGGAGTCCAGCGGCACACCTGGGCGCGATCCGAAGGCTGCCTGCTGGGCGGAGACGGGCAGGGGGCGGGGCGAGAGGAAGGCAGCTGCGGCGCGGGCGGGCGGGCCCTTTCGCTTTCGTTTCCCGCGGCGCTCCACCTGCGGGCATCGCTGTCTCCGCCCTCCCGGGCTTCCTCACTCCTCCTGGGCGGGCTTGCGGGTTTTTCCGATGGCGGCGGTCGTGGCGGTGCTCGGGGTCCCCTCGGACGTGGCCGATGAGCTGCTGGTGTTTTACTTCGAGAACCGTCGGCGCTCGGGCGGCGGGCCGGTGCAGAGCTGGCGGCGGAGGGGCGGCCGCGCCACTCTAACTTTTGAGCGCCCCGAAGGTGAGGGCCCCGGCTGGAGGGAGGCTGGGGACAGGCCGGCGGGGAGAAAGGCCTTCCGGCCCTGGGGCGGAGGCCGGCAGCCCAAGGCTTGCCCCATTCCACCGGGGCTTTCACGAAACGGCTGCCTTCCCACGACGTGGTTACCCTTACTGGGCCGTCCAGTTTTTGGGAGTCACACAATATGTGCGCTTGTGCTGTACACTAAGGCACAGAGGCTACACGTTGACACCAATTTTGCTTAGCAGGAGTTACAAAAGCAGCAGATACGTTGGCCTACAGATTCCATGTGTTCTATGACTGAGGAGGCTGGGGATGATGGAAAGCATAGTCCATTGTGCAAGGGACCCAGATGGCTATGAGGCTGAGGTCTTTAGTGCTCCAGCTTTGCCCCCACAGGCTCCCCCAAACAGCTGGCTGGGCACTTCTGGGACTTGGCTTCCGAGGGGTTTGAGGCCCTGATGGGGGGGATGGGGGTCTGGCTGGGCCTGTCCCTGGTAGTAGCTTGGCTGGCCTCTGGGGTGAGGACTTTCCTTCTGGAGATCACCTGCTGGTCTCCTCCCTCGCAGATGCCCAGAGGGTCCTCTCCAAAACTGACCATGCCCTGCAAGGGGTGCACCTGACGGTCCAGCCCGCTGCTCCTCGGGATTATGGGAAGGTGGTCCTCCAGGGCCTGAACCCCCAAAGCAGCCTGGAGCTTGTGGAGCTGTACGTGGAGCACATGCTGGATTGCGAGAGGGATGCTTACTCCGTCCACCGCAGCCCTGCCGGGGACCAGGCGCTGGTGCAGTTGCAGGCGGCGCTCAGCCACACAGGTACTTGCGGAGGGTCTCCTCTTCCCTTCAAACCGCAGCCAGCTGAGCCTCCTTAGGCTCCCTCCCAGGGGGGCACCTGAGGAGCTTTCCTGCCCTCCAAGCATGGTTGCCAGTGGGTGCCTTGAGCCTCTTCTCTGCACCCGCCCCCTTACTCTGCCCCCTCCCAACACCAGGAGGAGCAGATACCCAAAGGGCAGAGAAAGCACCGCCTTGAAAATGTTACAGTCCTGCAGTGAGGTACATCACCTAGGCTGCTGCCTTTGGCTAGCTGGGACCGTGTCCCCACCTGGAAGGATCCTGCATTATGGGCAGGGTTAGCCATCATCTGCCAGGGATTCCTGGCTTCGCTGGGTCTGGAAATCAGTCTCTGGCCTCCAGTTGTGTCATCAGTTTCCAAAAGAGGAAGGTTAGCTGGCTGCCCTCTTCTTGGAAACTCCAGAGAAGCTGAACGGGAGGTCTTTTCCCAGCATTCTGCCTGGGATGGGAGGGGGCATAACGGAAGGCAGTTCTTACGGCAAAGTCTTCATTGGCTGCCTTGACTTAGTTCCTCGGCTTCCCTGGCAGAGTTCTTGGTGCTGGCGGGTCGTGTGCAAAGCCGGATGCTGGACGGGGCCAGCCTGGTGCTGGACTGGGTGGAGCAGACAGACAGCATCCTGGTTCGGAGTCACCGTGGCAGCCAGCTGCAGCCTGAGGTGCTGACCCTCTACTTTGAGAGCAGGCGGAGTGGCGGGGGCCGTGTGCAGGCAGTGCGGCTTCTCCCGGGAGGCATGTTGGCCGTGGTCTCCTTTCAGGACCGCACAGGTGAGGGCTGTTCGAGACGCGTCTCCTGGCTCCACTTCCAAGAGGTGCTGAAAAGGCTCCTCTGATCCTGCTGCCTTCGTTTCCCACAGTGGTGGATCGGGTGCTGAAGCAGCCCCATCAGCTCCCGGATGGCAATCTGAAGGTCTCCCCTCACTACGACTTCCTGGAACCCCCAGAGGCAGCGGCAGAGCTGCAGGTGGGAGGAGCTGGCAAGGCCCTGTCCACCATCCTTCCTGTTGCAGAAGCAGCTACAAGGCGACTGCTGCAGTCCAAGGCTGTCCTGCAGGAGCTGGGGGCCTCTGCTCCCGAATGCGTGCTTCGCTGCGAAGAGGCTGGGCTATGCATCTTGGGTGGGGATCTGACTCTTCAGCAGCAGCTGCGGGAGCGTATCCAGGCAGCCTTGCATACGGTGACACAGGAGCGGCTGCCCTATTCAACCTGGGTTCTTGAGTTCCTGCAGCGGGCAGATGTGCAGGAGCACTTGGTGGAACAGCTTGCGGAGCGCAGTGTGGGCGCCTGCTACATTCCCACTGCAGAGGAGGTGCTAGTCGTCGCCCTGAAGCCTTCTGTGGCTCAGCTAGCTGCTTCTCTCCTGGGCTCCTTTCTCAGCTCCATCTCCCTGCCCTTGTCTGAGCGGCAGTTGCTGGCCTTGGCGTCCCCACACTGGGCCCAAGTGCAGGCAGGACTGCGCTGCTGCTGCGTTTGTCTGGCTGAGGATGGGGAGCACCTGGAGGGCCTCACCTTGCCTGGCCTGGAGGAGGAGAATGTGGCCGAGCTGACGCGTGGCCTGCAGGACTGCCTGCCGGATGAAGTGCTGGTGACCACGGAGCCTGGCCGTCTTCACTACCTTCAGCTCCATCGCCATGAACTGCTGGCTGGCTTGGCTGATGTCACACTGCTGCCCCTGGAGGGAGCCGAGGTCACCGGCTTGCGGGTAAAAGGGGTGCAGCAGCAGGGTCCTTCCATGTCCTGCCCGCAACACACAGGGTGCCAGGCACTTGCCAGCTCTGCCCTGTTTTAGTGTCCCCTCTCATGGCAGCTGCCAGGTGTCCTTGGGAACTGGGCTAAAGACCCACTTCGGTGGCCAAAGAAGAGGTGGGGGGGGATGTCAGATCCTGCTTTTGCCAATCTTTTGTCTCAAGCAAAACACGTTAGCCTGAGAAAACTGGCATGATATCTTTTTGTGCAGCTGAACGGTGATTCTTGGGCATGCCAAGCCGCAGCTGACCTCCTCCAGAGTCTGCTCTGTGCCATCCGTGTTCGGACTGTGGTGCTGCATCTGCCTGGTGTGAGCCGCTTCTTGCTGGAGGAGCGTGGCCAGGCCATCCTTCAGGGCCTGGAGAGGAGCTTCTGCTGTGCCTTTGGGCTGGAGCACCTCCAATGGCGCTCCCCGGAGACACAGGTACGTACCCTGGAGGAGGGGATGGGGCTCGGATGTGCAGTGGGGTCAGAGGCTGGTGTGCCAAGCTGGAGGGGAGAGAAGAGTTTGAAAAGTGGGGGTTGCCTCTGAAGGGCCTCTTCCCCCCCCCCAGCATGAGTTAGAGACCTCACAGGAGCCAATTGCCCTCATGTGCCGACGGGATTCCCTGTGTGGCCTCAAACAGCAGCCGAAGAGCCCAGTCGGAGTGGCTGAACAGCAAAGCGAAGCTAACCTGGGTAATGTCTGTCCAGCTACCTGTCCCCGGAGGTGAAGGACATCAAGGGGCACCCACCATCCCCTTCCTGGTCTGAGGTTGGAGCTTGGGGTGGGGTTGGGGTAGCTTCAGGGTTCCCCCTTTCTGTGCAGGCCCATCTTACGTTGCTGCTTCCCTGCTCACCGGGTCCTCCTCCCATTGCAGAAGAGATCAAGGGCCTGCTGGCTGCCCTCCAACCTCCCCGGGTGGCCCTTCCTGCAGCAGAGGAGGAGGAGCAGGCAGAGACGGCCGCGGAGCCATTGGCGGAGGTTCCCTCCACCTTTGAGCAGCAGACCAGCTTGGCTGACCTCGACACAATAGAAGAGGGGCCCTTGCCTGTCCCAGGCCCCATTCCAAGCCTGGCATTGGAGGAAGAAGAGGAGGAGGCACAGCTGCTTCTGGCCATCCAGCAGTCCATGGACAGCGCTCGGCAGGAAGTGGAGGAGCTGGCGCGTGCCACTGAGCTCTCTCTGCGCTCCTTCGAGCAGGAGCAGCCGTCCAGTCCAGATGCTGACATCCTGTCTGTCATGAGGGCCTCTCTGGAGGCAGCAGCTGCAACCCGTCTGCAGGTCTATACCACCTTGGAGGAGGATGCAGAGGCCGTGGTGCAGGAGCTGGAGCGTGCCCTGGGCACGCAGCTGCGGGAGGAAATGGTGCAGAACGAGGCCCTCTTGTCTCTGCCCACTCTCTGCCTTGACTACCTGACCTACCTGGAGAGGAAGCATGCAGTGAGCATCACGCTCACTGGCCCCATAGCCACTGTGTCGGGATTCTTGGACTACCCTGTGGCCGCCACCCGAGACCTTGCCCTGCTGCTGGCCCGGCTGCTGCACGTGGAAGTGGCCGTGGGCTGTGGGGATGCCCGCTGGGTCCGCTGGGAGCCCTCTGAGCAGGCCTTCCCCACCCCTTATTCAGCCCAGGCCAGTGCCCTGCTGGAGCAAGCATGGTGCCGTGGCCACAAGCGCATGGAGGTGTTCTTTGATGGTCGGCCTTTTACTGTGGACTTTGAGCGGATGGAGGAGTACGACGTTGGCAATGGCCGCACTCTGCCCATTGGCCGCACCGAGCTCCAGCTGCCACTCGCTTCTCCAGGTAGATTCCCTGCGCAGTGTGCCCCACCCAGCGGGTTTCTGGTGTTCCTGTTGTGGCAGCAGAGGCCTCCCTGGCCATGCAGAGCGCCCCCGCCTGGCCTTGTGGGGGGGATGACAGCAGCTGTTTCTTCACAGACTGTGCTTCTCTGCAGCCCTGCTAGACCCCCCAGCTGAGGGCGAAGTGAAGCTGCTTCCACTGGCTGAGGACTCCGAGGAGTTTCAGAGGACCATCCAAGGCTTCTATGACACGCTGGCCGGGCTTCACGGCAAGCTCTGGATCGTCAAGGTGGCTGGTGGCTCCCTTTCAGTGGAGGGGCATCCCTTGCAGGCAGCAGGGCCCATCCTGAAGCCCTGGTGGCAGAGCGAGCCCTCTCTGGCCTTGAGACTGGATGGTGGGGTCTCAGCAAGGTCCAGAGGAGGGGATTTGTGGGGCTCTGAGGAGCAGAAAACCGTTAACCAGGTCAATTGGAGTTCTACCTGCTATGTTGGAATTCTTGCTTTCATGTTGGGTTGTTCCCTTGTTCCAAACCTGAAGAGGGGCTCAGTTCTGCAGTCAAGATTCCCTCCTTCGCATCTCCCCCCTGCCATGTGTTCAGTCGGCACCCTGGCTTTGCCCCACAAATCTTCTCTGGAAGAACCGAGCTGGGAAGGGCTGCCAAGCAGAAGCCGAGACCACTGGCCCTTCGGAGATGTGCCGCTTTTTTCTCTGCTGGCGGCCGGCCAGCCCTGCTGGGCTCCGCTGGGGGAGGGATGTGAGCCAGCCCCCTCCCAGCACTCATCTGGTAGAGCCCCCTTGGCCTTGTGGAGAGGCCCCTGCCTAACCTCACAACTTGGGTACAGGGGCTCTCCCCCTTTCTATGCAACGGGCAGTGGTCTGGGATTGGCCAGAGGACTCTAGGGCAGGCTCCCTGAAAGCTGGGCCAGCCTGATTCTGCCACTGGCACCACTTGCTCTGAGAGCCAAATTGGATGAGGGAGGGATTTCCTCCACTGCCCTCCCCCCCCCCCCGGCTCCTCATAGCTGCCCCTCTTCGGGACTGGTTCAGAGCAGAGATGGCACCTGGGCTCCCTTGGGTGCGGGTGCTGAATGAGAAAGGGGGGGTGCTTGGAAGTAGCCCCCAGCTTTGGGATCAAGTGTGGCCAGTGGGGCAGGGAGGGAATTGAGCTGGATGTGGGGCTAACTCGTCTGCCTCCCTGCTTGGTAGCTGGAGAAGGTGATGCACCCGCTGCTCTACCAGCAGTACCAGCTAAAGAAGTCTGCCATGGAGAAGGCCTGCGGGCACCAGGCAGTGGAGCGGATCCTGTACCATGGCACAACGGAGCAGTCCAGCCACGAGATCTGCCAGCACGGCTTCAACCGCAGCTTCTGTGGCAAGAATGGTCAGTCAGTGACTATGCACAAAAGGACTCTCTTTGGTGGCTCTTAAGGGGGCGTTCCCATGGGGGGCGAGGGGGGACCCTCTATGCTAGCTGTCTGACCTGTCCTGGGGATGTGCCCCCATATCCAAGAAGTGCTCACACACACTTACCCCGCAGAGAAGCCGTGCCAGATGCAAGAGGGGCTTCAGCAGCCGCATTCGTGCCCTTGGGGGAGGCAGGAGGGGGACCAGCAGCAGCTGGAGAAGCTGAATTGGTGGGTGGGGGGAGGGGCTGGTGGAGAGGGGTTCTGGGCACTGCGCTGCCAGGAGGAGGCTTATAGGTGGCTCTGCCAGCCTTGTGACCCGAGGGTGCCAATGCCAGCCTTAGGCAGGAGGCTCACTGAGGTGCCCAGCACCAGTCAGTGTCCAGCCCGTCATTGAGACAGTGGGCAAGATGACACTGAGGTTGCTTTTTTGCATTTGGCCTCTCAGAGGGGCTCTTGGAGGCCGCATCAGCTGCTAGCCGGGCACAGGCCTGGCTTCCTCTTCGCTCCCTGAAGGGACCAGGGGAAGGGGGAGCAGAGCCCTACAGCTTCATGTGTGTGAGATACTCCGCATTATTCAGTACTAGACCTTGCATGCTCTGTTTTCTTGCACTTCAGTATCCACGTTAGCTGTAACTTGGCAGGATAGCTGATCCTTTGTCTTTTGTTTGAATGTTCATACCTTAATAGGCATTAGAGATTAGTCTTGCAATGTCTGTAAAATGTCCGTATATTTGTTGTGGGTTATTCACCATATTCCTGTCTGTCTGGATGCTTTTGCATAGTTTACATACGTTTATCTTGCTGTGCGCCAGCCGTTGACTGAATAACTCCTGTCCCCCATTTCCAGCCACGCACTACGGCCACGGCGTCTACTTCGCGGTCAAGGCGTGTCTTTCGGCGCGTGATCAGTACTCGCCTCGCAGCCCTGATGGCAACAAATACATCTTTGTGACCCGGACGCTGGTTGGGGACTACACAGCGGGCAATGCCAGCATGCGAGCGCCACCCCTGAGGGAAGGAGATGCCACCCTCCGGCGGTACGACAGCACAGTGGACAACCCAAGGAAGCCCTCCATCTTCGTCATCTTCAATGACACGCAGGCCTACCCTGAATACCTCATCACCTGTCGGTGGGTGGACCCTAAGGGGAGGCCTCCCCCCGTCTCCCCCTTGCCGCCCTGGTGAAGGACAGATGGTTTTCCGCAGGAGGGCTGCTCGGCAGGGGGCAGAGCTAGGGAAGGCAATGGGGCACTGCGGTAGGAGCAGTTCACAGGGGGCAAAGCATGGCAGTGCCCACAACAGACCCGCCTCCCCCCTCTCCCTCTAAGGTGGGCCTCAGGCAGCCCCAGGGGTGATTGTGTTCCGCAAGACACACACCGGGACCTCCTGCTCTTCAAGTGCTCCCCACTTTTTTAAAATAACTGGTTGTTTCCTTTAAAGCTACAGATGTGAATAAAAATAAATAAAGAACTTGTGTATCAGACTAAACAAGATTAGCTATAAAATACTAAACCCAAAAAGAGCAGGAGAAAAGAGCAGGATTTTATAATCCATTAATATGCAAATGACTATATTCAGTTTTTAAACAAGAAATTGAGCCTTGACCACCCAGAATCAAAAGTTTTTATTTTTTGTCAAAAAAGGAACTGATTTAAGGACAGAGTTGGCAAATTCCACCTAGCCGACCCTTAAAACCCCCCTTCCGTGATTGCAGCCTGTAAACTCTGGGAATTCCAGCTGCTGAGATAAAATTGAACAACATTCAATTCTCCCCCAAACCTTTAAAATCCAGTTTTCAATTCTAAATGTTTGAATAGCGTTAACAGCATATTATTTTTTTCTTCCTACCGTTTTTCTGCAAGCACACATTCCCCCTTTTTTTCAGATCAACTGAGAGTTGATCCATGGGGTTGTGACAGGAATTGATGAACCAGCTTGTTGCCCAGTCCTGGCATTGATGGCGGAGAGAGCGCGGCCCAAGGTCACCCAGCCAGTTTTCATGCTAAGGACTAGAACTCACCGTCTCCTGGTTTCTACTGGACAAAACGGGCTCTTAGATAGATAGTATCATTCAATTTTATTCTAGCACTTTTTCTTAAATCATTAATATTACTGGGCTCTTGGTATGCTTCCAGAAAATCCTGCCATGTATTCAAAGTTTTTGAGCTTTCAGTAGCTGCTGAGGCTTCCAGGGAAAGCAGAAGTGTTGCTACTCGGCTGATTTTAGTAAATAGTTTCATTTATTTATTAAATTTGAATACTGCCCATCTTGCTTCTCTGGGCAGCTTACAAAGTCATAAATAAGAGAATAAAACAATTACAGGGTTAAAATATTAAAACACCAGAAAGTGAAAACATTAAAATTCATATTAAAATGGGTAAAAAGAGCCAATGGATGGAAAGGGTGAGATCCTGCACTAGTCTACTATCCATAATATTAATCATCATAGCCAATAATGTCTTTTCTGTACTCTTAGAAACATTGTTTGCTCCTCAGTTAACAAGGAAGAGTAGCTGCCATTTTCCACCCATGTTCCAAGTTTTTTCCTTCCACCTTTAAAGAACGGCTATTTCTCGGGGAAACCCTGAGGCCAGGATTGGCTTCTACCCCCATAGAGCCCGTGGGGGTCTGCCGCAGCTGCTGGAAAGACACACAATTCCTCTGGCAACTGAGCAGGTCCTTGCCAGGGTCCCCACCGGGCCCTCTGCAACTGGGCAGGCTGGCAGGCCCCTGGTGGTGGTGCCATTGAGGGATGGGCCCGAGGGTGCAGTCTTGGACGTAGAACTAAGAAACTGAATGACCCCGAGGACAATTAGCCAGTGGAACGGCTTGCCTTCAGAAGCTCCGCGTGCTCCATCATGGGAGGTCTTGAAGAAGCCATTCGTCCAGAATGGTGTAGGGCAGGGATGTCAAACTCGACCTCATTGAGGGCCGCATCAGGGCTGTGCTTGACCTTGGGTGGCTGCGGTGGGCCTGGCCAGCTCGACATCACTTGTGTTGGAGGCGCCTGTGGTGGCCCGAATACTCTGCCAGCGAAAATGGGCTCCTGAGCTCCACCTTTGGCTGCAACAGCCTCCTGCGCCCTTCTGCCAGTGCAGACAGAGCAGCCCTCCTGAGCTCTGTTTTCACTGGCAGAGTCACTGTGGGCCAGTCCTTCGCTGTTTCCAGGGGCCAGGTCTAAGCACCCTGTGGGCTGGATCCGGCCCCTGGGCCTTGAGTTTGACACCCCTGGTGAAGGGTCTCCTACTTGGGTGGAGGGTTGGAATGGAGGGCCTCCAAAGTCCCTTCCAGCTCTATTTTTCTATTCTGTTCTTCTATGATCACGTGTGTCCCTCCCATCAAGCGCAAAGAAAATCTGGAATGGTATAGGATCTCCTGTCATGAACTGGGGGGGGGTGTGTGGACTAGAAGACCTCCCAGGCCCCTTCCAACCCTGTTCTATATTCAATTCCAAGAGGAAGCAGACAAGCAGGACAACCTGGATAGGTAAGAAGACAAGGTGAGAGGAACAAGGTATCCTTTGAGAAGAATGTATGGGAGACCTACAAGATGGATTCATGACTTGGGAGAACTACATCAGAGAAGAAGCTGAGCATGAGCCAGCCAGAGCAGCAATTCTGGGTTGCCTTAGAAAAGGGGTGTCCAACCTTGGTAACTTTAACTCCCAGAAATCTCTGATGGCTGGCTGGGGGACTCGGGGAGTTGGCCCGCAAGTCTTAACATTTGGCAAGGTTGGACATCCCTGCATTAGAAAAAACCTTGTGTCACCTTTATGTTTAGCCTGACAAAGAGAAGATTGAGAGGACACCTAATATCGATGTTCATATACATTAAAAAGTCACATTTTCCATGGTCACAAAAAATAGAGGAAAAAATGGGCATACATTGCAGTTACCCAAACCCATCTCCTTATGGAAGTTGTGGGTTCTCTGTCTTGGAGGTTTAAGAAGAGGCCAGTCTTGACGATGGATTAATAATTGGTTCTCCTGTCAGACGTGCTCCAGCTTAAATCTCTGAATAGAAACCATCCTTGGCTCTCCATTTATTGAGAAAGGCATAGTTTTATTAGAAGTCAAGTGCCTTGCAGTACTGCATAGCCAGGACTGAGACTTGCACCCCAATATCCCCAAGTACAGCGTTTCCTTCCCTTAGGTGCCCCTCCCCCACTAATCAGGTTCAAGCAAGATGTTTTGAGAATGGGCGCTTCAAGCTTAGGTTGGTATGCAGCTGCCGCCTTCTCCCAGCAGGGTGACCTTGAAGCAGCGTCTGGGGTGTGTGTGTGATACAACTGCTCTCGTTTTCCCCAGGCAGCAGTCACTTTCGCTTCCCCCCCACTCCCCCCACCCCCCGGTAGCGGAAATGTTGAGTAGTTCAGAGAATGGTAAATACCACCTGACTGCCCCGCCCCATCTATTCTCTGCCTCCAGAGTCCCAGCTGATCGGGAGGAAATGGGGATTTTGCAGTAACCTTCCCCTGGAATGGGGAGGGAATGGAGCTTTTACTGTATCCTTCCCCTGCCATACCCACCAAGCCACACCCACCAAGCCATGCCACGCCCATAGAACCGGTAGTAAAAAACTTTGAACCCCACCAGTGGACTTCTGGATTGCAATAAAAACGGAGTAAGCAAACCCAGCCTTGGAGTCCCAAAGCAGCGAAAAGGAGGATCCCATCTTCGGGGAGGGGAAACCACAAGACGGATAGCCCTGCCCAGGGCAGGAACCCACATTCAGGCCTCCGCGCTCTCCAGGGCGAAGCTGCCGATGCCCGGGCCAGGCTTCGCCAAGCGCCGCTGCTCCTGAGCGACCGACGAAGGGAGGCAACGGGCTCTTTCTCCCGCCCGCCTGCTTGCTTTGCTCCTCCTCGGCCAGGAGGGGCCGCTCCGGACGCGGTTCCGCTCTTTGCCTGGGACCGAGCCAAGCGCTGGGCGGGGGCGAGGCTGGCAGCTCCGCTGCTTTGTGTGCCAGGCGAGGAAATGCCCTCTTCCCCGGGGGCCAGTCTTCCCGGATTGCTCATTGCTGGCGGAACAATTGGCGGCGAGGGGGGGGGGAGAGTTCCAAGCAACAGAAAAACAACTGTGGGAAACGGGAAACGAGGCGGGGCGCTGCTGTGACCTCGTGCAGAGCCCCCCCCCGGGCATCTGGCCGGGCTTTGGGGCTGGCTCCCTTGTGAAGGGATACTTTTTGCCCTCCCCGAGACTGATGCCCGGGCTTTCCCAAATGGGGCTGGGGGCGGGGGGGGGCAAGGGACTCTGGCCAGGAAGTCTGTGCTGCTCCAAAGAGACGGCCGGCGCTCCTGCGGCCTCTCCCCCTCGCCCCCCCCCCGCGCTGCCCAACAGGGAACCGAAAGCCTAGGAAACCCCCCCCCCCCCCCCCCCCCAAAAAAGGGGGGGGAAAAATGTGCCCCCCCCCCGTCCAAAGAGCCAGATCAGAGGGGCCCTGGCTCCCCATGGGCGGATCCGGCCTGCGGCGGCTGCTTTCCATGAAAGGAGCCGCTTTTCCGGAGTGTGTGTGTCCTGGAGCCCAGAGCCTCCACCCTCCCCTCCGCGAGCCCCGCTCTGGCTTTGGGGTCCCAGGCGTCCTTCTCTGCTGGAAGGCGAGCCGCCAGCAGGGGGCAGGAGCACCGCGTGCACCTCTCCGCCTGGAGCAAAGGCAGAGAGCATGCGCAGAGCTCAGGCCGGGAGGGAGCGCGGCGAGGGGGTTCGGTTGCGGAGCTTGGAGGCGCTGCTGCGGTGCTTCCCGGCCCTTCGGTCGGCAGTGGCTCTTGGGCGAGGTCGGCTGCTCCTCCTGCCACGTGCATGCCCAGCGTCCCTTGCCTGGGAGGGGCCGGCAGCGGAGCAGTGGGCAGATTCCGAGCCTTGCCCCTCCCGCGGGGGTGGGGGGAGTATTCTCCGGCCCCCCAGCTGCATCCAGCCCATCCCCAAGCTTAGCCTGCCCTTTTCGAGCTTCTGCCAAGCGGGGGGGGGGGGGGGGGGCTGTTGCGTCCTCCGACTGACAGAGAGGCCCCCTCGCGTCTTTTCTTTCTGGAAGGAACCCGGAGGGAGGGAGGGAGGGAGAGGGAGCCCGGCCTGGTCTGGGCCCAGGGAGGCAGCCCAGTGAAGGCCGGAGTGCCCGTGCAGCAGCTGCTCAGTAGAGAAGGCCAACAGTCCTGGACGTCAAGAGCTATTCAGCTTATATTTTAGTTTAATGATTTAAAGCAAATCAGAAAACTGCTTTTCACCAGAAAAATTTGAAAAGCAGGATAAAGGGTCAGCATTGAAGCTTCAGTTTGTTAAAGCTTCAGCTTTAATGTGGATTAGTTTAAATCCCCAGGAGTAACAGCTTGCTGCAGGAGGCTAAAAGATCAAGGCTAAATCTTGCCGGTTCTTTCAGAAATTCAGAAATTTTGGTGAAGTAGCCAAGACGTGTGAATATCCTGATCTTCAGGAATGGGAGACAAGGTCCAAGAAAAAAGATGTGGAGACTCTAGAAAAAGTGCAGAGGAGAGCAACCAGGATGATGATGGGACTGGAGGCTAAAACATACAAAGAACACTTGCAAGAACTGGGCATGGCTAGTCTTAATGAAAAGAAGGACCGGGGAGATAGGATAGCAGTCTTCCAATATTTGAGGGGCTACCACAGAGAGGAGGGGGTCAAGCTATTCTCCAAAACACCCGAAGGCCAGACAAGGAATAATGGATGGAAACTACGCACTGTTACTCAAGCGCTGGTCACCTCCCGTCTTGACTACTGCAAAGCTCTCTACCTAGGGCTGCCCTTGAAAACCACTCGAAGGCTGGTGCAGAATGCAGCCGCGCGGGTTGTGATGGGAGCGTCCTGACACTCCCATGTTACACCCCTCCTGCGCGACTTGCATTGGTTACCAGTTGCCCTTCGGGTGAGGTTCAGGGTGCTGGTTATTACCTACAAAGCCCTTCATGGCCTAGGCCTGGGATACTTGTCGGATCCCCTGCAGCCAGTGACAACTCCCAATCGCCCATAGGTGTGTCCCCACAGAGAGGGCCTCCTCAGGGTGCCGTCGGCCAGACAGTGTCGGCTGGGGATCCCCAGGGGGAGAGCTTTCTCTGTGGGCGCACCCACCCTCTGGAACCAGCTTCCTTTGGAGCTCCGGATGGCCCCTGACCTTCGCTCGTTCCGCTGCGATTTGAAGACCTGGTTGTTCCGCAGCCTGGACTGGTGTTTTTTTTTTTTTTTTTTAATGAATTTTAAATTGTTTTAAATTGGGATTTTAATTTTATATTGGTGGGAATTGTGCATTTTACCGTTGTGAGCCACCCTGAGTCCTCGGAGATAGGGCGGCATATAAATTGCATAAAATAAAAATAAATAAATAAACTGATCAAGGAGAGATTCAACCTAGAAATAGAAATTTTCTGACAGTGAGAACAGTCAACCAATGGGAACAGAAGTTGCCTTTGAAGTTGTGGGAGCTTCATCACTGGAAGCTTTCAAGGACAGACTGGACTGTCATCTGTCAGAAATGGTGCAGGGTCTGCTTGGGCAGGGGGTTGAACTAGATGACCTACAAGGTCCCTTCCAACTCTGTTAATCTGTTAAACTATAAACCTGAGAAGAATGAAAAATCTTTTAATAGAATTTTATTGGCCAAGTGTGATTGGACACACAAGGAATTTGTCTTGGTGCATATGCTCTCAGTGTACATAAAAGAAAAGATACTTTCGTCAAGACTCATAAGGTACAACATTTAATGATAGTCATAGGGTACAAATAATCAAATCATATTAGGAAACAGTATGAATCGTAAGGATGCAAGCAACAAAGTTAGTCATAACAGTCATTAGTGGAAGGAGATGGGTGGTAATGATGAGAAGATTAATAGTAGTGCAGACTTAGTAAATAGTTTGACAGTGTTGAGGGAATTATTTAGTTTAGCAGAGTGATGGCATTTGGGAAAAAACTGTTCTTGTGTCTAGTTGTTCTGGTGTGCAGTCCTCTATAGTGTCGTTTTGAGGGTAGGAATTGAAAGAGTTTATGTGCAGGATGTGAGGGGTCTAAATATTTTCACAGCCCTCTTTTTGATTTGTGCAGTATACAGGTCCTCAATGGAAGGCAGGTTGGTAGCCATTGTTTTTTCTGCAGTTCTAATTATCCTCTGAAGTCTGTGTCTGTCTTGTTGGGTTGCAGAACCAAACCAAACCAGTTATATAGTTGCAGATGACAGACTCAATAATTCCTCTGTAGAACTGGATCAGCAGCTCCTTGGGCAGTTTGAGCTTTCTGAGTTGGCGCAGAAAGAACATTCTTTGTTGTGCTTTTTTGATGACATTTTTGATGTTGGGTGTCCATTTTAGGTCGTGAGATATGGTAGAACCTAGAAATTTGAAGGTCTCTACTGTTGATACTGTGTTGTCTAGTATTGTGAGAGGTGGAAGTATGGAAGGGTTTCTCCTAAAGTCTACCACCATTTGTACGGTTTTGAGTGTGTTCAGTTCCAGATTGTTCCGGTCGTATCACGAGGCTAGTTGTTCAACCTCCCGTCTGTATGCGGATTCATCATTGTGAATGAGACCGATTACTGTTGTGTCATCTGCAAACTTCAGCAGTTTAACAGATGGATCATTAGAGATGCAGTCATTGGTATACAGAGAGAAGTGGGGAGAGCACACAGCCTTGGGGGGCCCTGTGCTAATTGTACAGGTATCTGATGTGATTCTGCTTAGCTTCACCTGCTGCTTCCTGTCTGTTAGGAAGCTTATGATCCACTTACAAGTGTGTTCGGGTAGCTGGTTTAGCTTAGTTAGAAGTGTGTCTGGAATGATGGTATTGAATGGTGAACTAAGGTCTATAAAGAGGACCCTTGCGTAGGCCTTTGGAGATTCAAGATGTTGTAGGATGTAGTGCAGAGCCATATTAACAGCATCATCTGTTGATCTATTTAAGCAATGAATCTGTAAACAGACTGAAAACAACGGAGTCCACAAAAAAATATTATTGATCTTATATTTCAATTGGATAATTTCCTAAGTAGACTATGGGAATGATATACACATAACTCGGGTTTTGTACCATATTTGACAAAGGTGTGTAACTCATAATATTTTAATTAGTAATCCTTTTAGGTATGGCTTAGAGGGCATTCACAATTAATTGGATACATAAATGTTTCTTCAATTCAGGCTTTGCAAAGATCACTTTTGGATTCTATAATTCTTTAATACTTTCCTTCATAATATAGATGATGATGTACAAGGAATGGTTACCAAGTGATACAAAATTGGACATGATAAATAATAATTCTAAAAAGTGCAAATAAAATTTAGAAGCTAAATAAGTGGACTGACCATAACAGTGAAATTTAGCAGCGATAAGTGCACAGTGCTTTATTTAGAAAACTGAAATTAAATTCAGAGATATAGAAGATTGGATGATGTCTGGTTGACGATAGTACCCAAGAAAAACATGTAGAACAAACCGGGTGCTAACTGAACATCAACTGGTAGCATGACATGACTGGGAAAAACCCAGCTTCAGCTTTGTCAGTTCATCGAACAATTCGTCCTGCTCATGGGAAATAGCATTTTTGTCACATGGTCTTAAACTTTGTCAGCTGTCCAGAGTCAAGTTCAAGTGGTGGCTATAGAAACTGAGATTATAAAATAAACAAACTCCCATTTTTCATTGGAAAACGTCAAATACAGCAGATGCTCCCAGAATTCCCCAGCCAGCCATCCCTGTGGCTGGCTAGGGAATTCTGGGAGGGAAGTCCATGTGCCTGGAAAGGCCTGAGGTTGAGAAACTGGCTCTGTTTGGATCCTGGATCTCAGGTGAGGGATTGGACTAGATTATCCCGTCCAACATTTAGCGAGAGAACTTCGGAAGAGCCCGATGGAGACATCAACTCCTCTCTGACTCTGGAAGAGTAAATGACAGTGAAGAACCGGTGATGGGCAGACTTCCTCCCACCACCCCTTTTGAACAGGCTAAACGGGCGCCCATCACTGCTCAGTCTGTATAAGAGCTCAAAGTCCGGTTCCCTCCTGCCCCACAGCTCTATTCTCTGCCCCACAGCTCTGGCCAAACTGCTGGAGGGGTTAAAGCCCTGGGCCGCCTGGCTGACTCAGAGGGAGCGGCCTGCTTGGGGGGGGAGGGAGGAAAAGGAGGGGCTACAAACATCTGGAACCCATCTGGGCCGGCAGCAGACAAGGAAGCCAGTGAGGGTTAATGAGGCCGGCACACCCACTGCCCTCCCCCTCCCCCCTTGCTGCTGGGTGCAGTGGCGTGGCGTGGCTCGCGTGGCACAGCAGAGCTGAGCATGGCCTCCTTGAACCCGTGGACACCGACTGATCCTGCCTGGCTCCGCGTTGCTTGGGTAGCCGGCCTGGTGCTGTGTTCTCTCGGGGTGTGGGCCCTCTTCCTGGTCTGCTCCTGGCAGGGACGCCCGCCACCCAGCCTCTGGTCAGGTAGGTAGGTAGGTAAATAAGTGGGTGCTAGGCCGGGCGCAGCCCTTTCTGGGCAGACCAGCTGGCGATGCTTAGGATTGGGGAGAAGAGCCAGCAGCAACACTCTCCGCCTCCCTCCTCTCTGGGCTCCGGAGGGGTGTGTGTGTGTGTGTGTGTGTGTGTGTAGGAGCGCATTTATCCCCTCCTCCCATCTCCTGTTGCTGTGCCTTTGCCCAGATTAATGCCCGGCCAGCAGAGGAAGACGGTTAATGCTTTCCTTCCAAGGGGGCAGAGTTTTTCCCCATCTTGCTGGCAGGGGACTTGCAGAGTTTCTACAATTTGGAGGGCTGGAGGGGGGGCTGCCCACTGCAGAGGCAAAACTGGGCCACTTGACAGGGACTTGGCTGAGTAAGACTCATTGGTGGACCAGCCAACATCCAGGACATGCTGGCGTCTGCAAATCCAAGGCCCAGAGGAGGCAAGGGGGGAGGCATTGAGGAAGGAGGCCTAAAGAGGCCTAAATGCTTCTGTGGAGCACAGATGGCCTGCATCATTTTCTGCCCCCTCCCTCCGCACTGGGCATCCAGAGTCCAGAAGAAGAGTCATGCGAGGGGGGAGCCCCTCATGTAATCGGGGAATGCCTGAAGCTGAGTGCTGCCCTTTCTCCCCCGGACCTTCACTCAGGAGCCTCCCAGGATGCCAGATGGCTCACACCAGAGCAGAGGGGCAGAAGGCCAGCTGGGGCCCCTCTGCATCCAACCCTCTGCTCAGGCATCTGGGCTCACTTTGGCCCAGGTAGAGACCTTGTGCCCGCTGAGGGGCCCGTGGGACGCAAACAGACAAGCCGCTGGAGCAGAGGGGTCCATCCCGAGGCAGACATCCCCTTGGGCCCATTTTGAGGGTGCAACTGCACCCGGGCAGCCTCCCTGGGAGGACAGCCGTAGGAGCTTGGAAAATGGGCCTGCGTGGGCCCTTGTGCCTGCTGGCCTGTGGCCCAGCCGTGGGGAGGATTTGCACTTTCTGTCGAAGGTTGGAGAAGAAAGCCCCACCACAGAAGCCAGGTACAGAGAAAGCTCCCATCCCCCGACCTCCAGCCTTGCACCCCTAACACACTCCTCTTCTGTCTGTCAGGATCGCAGCTGGGAGCAGCCAGGTCCTTGGGCCCCTCAGAGGTAAGCTTTGCGCTCAAGTACCCATGCACTAAAGGCTTCCTTGAAGAACTCTGGAGCACGACGCCGTGCCCGTGGCAAGGGGCTGCAAACACTGGGCTTTTGCCCTTCCCTGCCACGAGCAGGGCAAGCGCCCTCAAAGCCTTTATTGTGCAACCCCCTGGCAAGGGGGGGGAGTTCTGCCCACAACTGCAGAGAGCACAGAAGGCTCTTGGTGGGGGAAAGGGCCTCCGCCAGTGACTGGCACACAGCCATCCCTGGGCATTTCCCACCTCTCAGGCAGGAAGGCAGGGGGGCAGCGAGGAGGGATCAGGAGAGCTGGGCACACCCTGAGGGGCTGCAGGACTGACTACCCTTCCCCTCTTTGCATCATTAGAAGCGCCGGAAAAAGGCCGCCAAAGCCAAGCCACGCAGGGAGCAGGCTGGGAATTCTGCCACAGGGGTGGCGCTCTCTCCAGCTGCCAAGGAGCAGGTAAGCGGACTCCAGCTGGGGGCACAACTGTGGGCAGCTTAGCCAGATGAGCTGAAGGCTTCCTCCAGCCACAACTGCACCTGCAGCCTGGTACAGGATGGTGGGGGGGGAGGGCACAAGGCTTTAGCTGAGGCCCAGGGAAGATTTCTCTGTGCCTTGAGAGAAGATTCTGCCGGCACCAACTGGGAGCCTCTGAGCACCTGCATTCCTGGATCCCAGGAAGCTTCCTGAGCTTCCTACTTGACTGCCTGGGCCTCCCCCCCTCCATTCTGGGCTAATCCCTGCAGGTCAGCTGGAGAGCCCAAAGTGCTGGTGGGCACAGCCCCCTTGCCCACAGAGGCACCTTCAAAGCTAGAATGTTCTGGAGATCCCCGGTATGCCCCCGATGGTGTACCTGTTCTTGCCCTTGGCCTCACCTGTCATTGCATCCCTGGCTTCCTTGGTTAACCAGGAGATTCTCAGGGAGAAGCTCACTAGGGCCGGTATCCCCCATCCATCCCCTGCTGCCCCTATCCCACAAGTCCGGCTACTTCGGCTGGGCCTCTCAGCTCGCTTTAGCCTAGGCTGGCCGGCCTTGGCAGAGCCGGACTACGACCGGAGCCCTTGCCAAGCGACTGCCTCGGGGCCGGGGTGGGGCTGCGGGACGCGGGTCGGACAGAGGAGCCTTGTTCTCGGCCCGCCTGGACCCTCCTCCGCCTCTCCCGCCCGGCGTCTCAGGCAGCCCGGCTCCCGCGCCTCCCAGTCCTCCGCCTGCATCGACCCGCTTCACCGGCTCTCCTCGGCCCCGAGTTTCCCCGGTTTCCGGATGCAGCCGCCCCCCTCGGCGCTTCGCTCTGCAGCTCTGCAGCTCCTGCTGCTTCAGGAGTCCGGTAGGTTTCGCCGGCCGGGGATGTGGTGGGGGAGACGGTAGCTCCGTAGTCCTCGTCTCCCGCTCCCAGCGCCGGAAGGCCGCGGCCGGCGGGGACCTGCAGCGGCCGAAGCAGGTCGGGCAGCCGCACACGCCGGCCAATGGCGAGCCGCGGTCCGAGGGCGGGGCGGGAGGCCGGGCCACCGGGGAGGGGCGGCCCAGCTCAGGCCCCAGGTGAGCGCCTCCACCGGCGGGAGGGGGCAGCGGACAGGTAACGCGAGGGCGGCCCGAGGGAAAGAGGAACAGCTGGCAGGCGGGCGGGCGGGCGGGCAGGCGCCGAGCCGCGTCCCGCCTGGTCCGTGGCTTCAGGCAGGTCCTGGGCAGGCCGAGTCGAGCCTCACCATCCCCGCCCCCGCCCCCCGGCACGGAGGGCAGCGGTGAATGGAGGCGAGCGGCGTAGCCCCGACGGGCTCCGGCAGGAGTTCCGCTGCGGTGCAAGCAGCCACTTGAAGGCTGCCTCCCTCGGGAAGGAGCTCGCGCTCGCCCCGTCTCAAGGAGCAGCTGTCGGGGTCTTCGGAGGCAGGGGGCGGCGAGGGGCCCAGCACGGTAAGGGCACTGGATCTGGACCCGCCACGTCCCGCCTGCCCCCCCGACGACTAACCCGCGCCCGGGAGCGGCGACCCTTGCGCGTCCCAGGGTGACTCCCCCGCCCCCCACGAAGGTCCTGCAAAGGGTCCCGACCTCCGCCTGATCGTCCCGGGCTTTGCTCCGCTGGCAGCGACGTTCGGGGTCTCCGCAGGCGAGGCGGGAGGCGCGGGGCGAAGACGACCTTCCTGCCCCGAGGCGCTCCTGCCTGCCCGACGGGGAGGTGGTTCCCGGCGGGCCCTCGGCCAGAGCCGGCACCGGGGCTCCTCGGCCGACGCCCCCATTGGTAGCCCGGGGCAGCTCCTCCTCCGGCGGGCGAGGGAAGCCGGCCAGGCCGCCGCCTCCGAGCTCCCTCCGGAGCGCGACGCCTAATCCGGCCGGCCGCCTGGAGCCGCGCGCGTGGGGCTCCGAGATAGGGCCGCGCGGCTGCCGCGCACCAGCCCTCGCGCACACGCCCTGCCGGAGCCGCGCGGGGCGGCGCCTCTGCCAAACGCCGCCGCAGGTTGCCCTGCTCGGCCATGATGCCGCCCGGCTGAGCCCGCCCGCCGCCCCCGCCCTCGGTGAGTGGGTGGCGTGGCGGGAGTGGCAAGGGGCCGCTGCGTCGCCCGGCCATCCCGCTCGGGTCCCTCTCCCGGCCTGCAGAGGCGGCCTCGGGGCGGCGGGGCCCCGGGCGGAGGAGAAGCGTCCCGAGAGCGACGGGCGCGGCTGGCACGAGCGCCTCCGACTGGGCTGCTCCACAGCGCCCGGTGGCCAGGCGGAGACCGGCGGAGGAGCCGTCCGGAGCGGGGCAGCGGGAGACGTCGCGGCGCTGGGCGGCGGGGGCGGGCGGGGACTCGTCTCGAGGGGGGGCAGCAGCGCGCACGTGCCTCCCTCCCGCTGGCGCCGGGGAAGCGGCAACCATGGCAACGGAGAAGAGCCTGCGGCTTTTCTGGGGCCCCAGGCCTCACCCGTGGAGGACCGCCTGGGGGCCTTTCCTACACAGAGCTGGGGGGGAGCGTGGGCCCGTGGGATGGGGGGAAGGTCTTGCGCTGCTTTGCCTCCGGCCTTGAAGCCTTGGCATCTTGGAGCCCTTTGGGTCTCATCTGCTGCGTAAACAGATCCAATCAGGACGGGAGGATGAACGGAGGTGGAACAGTCTGGGGGGAGCCAGTCCCCCCCTTGGAATGGGGGACAACTGCTCGGAGAACTCAGGCTGCCCAGGGCGAAGTGAAGGCCTGGCGGTGACTAATGGGCAACAGCGACTAGACCCTTTGCTGCAGATGGAGGGCAGATTCCTGGGGAGGCCCCCAACTCTGACACTGTCCCCCCTTTGCAGGAGGTGATGTCTGGCCGATGGAAAGAGAAGCCACCGATGGCTGAAGACAACTCCAGCGGCAGCAGCGGCTCCCCCACCCCGGGAGACACCCTGCCGTGGAACCTGCCCAAGCACCAGCGCACCAAGCGAACCAAGGCAGCCGCGGGCGGCAACGGCTCTGTGCTGGACCCCGCAGAGAGGGCAGTCCTCCGCATCGCAGGTAGGCGAGGGCTGGCAAGCGCCCACGGGAAAGTGGGGTCGGGGTGCCAGCTCCGGTTGCCACCTTGCACGTCCAGTTCTGAGCACCCATGTTGGTATTGCTGGTTGGGCTCAGGTTTTGTGTTGCATCGACCCAGCAGGCTTTGTCGAAGTGGGCATGGATTGGACTGGGCGCCGTGTGCTGCAGTGCCAATGCCCTGCCCTACTAAGTGAGGATGGTGTGTGCCAGGGAAGCCTTAGTTTCCTAGGGCGTTCTTGGCAGAGATGTTTGCCCTCGTCCTCTGGAGGCCCTGCTGGGATGCGGCTTCTGGAAATTGGTGTTTGGCAGAGTCAGGTCGCCAGTTGCGATTCTAAGCCAGAGGCTGATGGCTGCTTGCTCTGGCCTGCAAAGGAGCTTCCTCCATGGCACAGGCTGGAGGATTTGGCAGTGCCCAGGGTCTCAGCTGTTCTGGTGCAAGTCCTGGATATAACGGCAATGTTCTCGGCTGACTTTCCAAGCTTTGCTGTGTTCTGCACCTGAGTCCTACTCAGAAGCTTCCCACTTGAACCAAAATTGTGGCTGAAAGCAAACCGTAGGGTGCTGTTGGGAAAGTCCATTGGCCCAAATGGCGGGTTAAGGCCTTGGGGCTGGGCAGGGAGCCAGCTGAGTTGCTGCCGCTCCTCTGGGCTTCTTCTGCCTGCAGTAAAAGACCTTCCGAGCCTTGTCCCTGACTCTTCCCCTGTGAGGTCACAAGCGCCATCTTGAGTTTCTGGGGAGATGCCCTGCTGTGCCCTGGTTGATGAAAGTTGGTGGAACTGGGCAGGGGGTGGGCTTTGCGACCCTCCCCTTGCAAAGGGGGCCATTGCTATTCTCTTACCTGCTGATCTGGGAGGGCCAGAGCAGAGCATAAGGTGGCTTTTCCTGAAGGACAGGTGATGTGTTCCCAACCGGGAGCCTCTTGGCTGCAGTTGGCGTCCCAGAGTTTTGGTCCCAGGACTTGCGTGCTAGTAGTGTTAATTAGGAGACTTTCTTCTCTGAATTTGATTGGCTAATTAGTGGTGACTTTTGTCAGACCCAGCAATGAACCCTTTCCAGCGGGGTCTGTCTCCCGTAGGCCTCCCAGGGATGCGGCCACTGCTGCTGGGGTGAAGTCCATCCACCTTGCTGCTAGTTGTCCTCTCTAGTAGTCCAACTTTAGAGCGTCCCAGGAAAAACCACTGGCCTCCACACTTCTGGCTCCCATAGGTTCAGGCATCGGAATATCTCCTCCAGGGATCCAAGATTTCAGTAATTTTGCTAACATTGAACCAAGGGCTGGTCTGCAATGTATTTCTTGACTGCTGGTGCCTTTAGTGTAGAACAGAGTTTCTCGACCTCCGCAGCTTTAAGATGTGTGGATGGGGGGGGGGGGGCTTGGAGAGGCAGTGCTGATTCCTGCCGTTGTAGGTCAGGGGGCAATGACACCTGGAGGGTGACATTTGCTCCCCAAACTGGCCCAGAGGTCAAGGGTTAATGTCTTCATTCCTGGGTCAGAGTGGACATGGAGAGGGGTCAACAAGATCAACCTTTAAACCCTTTCATTGCCAGAGGTGATCTACCGGGGGGGGGGCGGCGGCGGCGGGGGGGGCTTCTACATCAACCCAAATGCTGCTTAAATCATATTTACTTTTAAAAGCTAATCTTTTCCTCAGTGGAATGGGGAATTTTTCCTCCGTGCACTGCAGTCTAAAGGCAAAGTCACTGAGTTTCTCAGCTGCTCTTTTTATGTTATTTATGTTTATAATTCATGACAGTGTTTTTATTGTTTTAATTGTCAGTCACCCAGAGTTGGGTACAGTATATGAGATGGGCGACCATTTAAATTGATAAATAAATAGAGGACTCCTACATGATCCTTCAGTCATCTCTGTTTACCTTCCTGCGCAGGTGCAAAATGTCCTGTGTCAAAATGTCATGAGGCTTCTTCCCACCTCCCTATAATCAGAATAAATCTGGAAAGGATTTCCCAAGGCAGCCTCTTACCATGGGCCGATTTTTCCTGATGTCCGAATGAAATCTGTTTCCTTCTTCTTTAAGCACCTGGTTTCTTGTCATATTTCCCCGAATGACAGCTTATTTCCCTTCAAGGGCTTATTTCTTCATTCTAGTGGCCCAGTGCTGAATCAATGCAGGCTTGGAAGGCTGTGGGGTCCTGGGTGCTCTCTGAGCGGGGTGGTTTTCTTGCAAATGTTTCGTTACCCAACTAGGTGCTAGCAGTGAAACGTCTGCAAGAAAACCACCATGCTCAGAGAGGAACAGGGACCCCATGGTTCAGCCCTGAGCTACAAATATTCTCTTCTATCAGTATGTACCATATCCCCCCCCACATCCCTTCTGCCACCTCCCCCCACCCCACCCCAGCCAGGTCCCTTCTTTCATGGAAGGTAGTAAGGATCATTAACCGAACAATTCCTCTTTTTATAAGGATCCACTACCGAGATGACCAGAGACCCTGGGAGGGGGCATCTGGATTTGAGGCGCATCCTTCATCCCAGGTTGTATCACTCTCTCCCTTGAGCAGTCAGGAGTTAAGGCAGCAGTCTTGACCCAGAGGCTGGAGGCTTTAAGAGCAGACCGAGGTTGAGCCCAAACACGGCACTGTTCATCTGGACACTGGCTGTCTCCAGAGTGAGTTTCCTGCAGAAAGAAGTAGATTAGCTTGATTGAAGTGGGCTCAATGCACTGGAGGGAGACCTAGGCAGGAAGGATAGTGAAGATTGTGGAGTACAATGAATTACAAAGGAATGGCTGGTGTTTGTGTTACAGGGGTGGAAGGATTGTCATCTGTTGAGGATCCTTGTAAAAAGAGGAATTGTTAGTGATCCTTACTACTTTCCATGAAAGAAGCAGAGAGGAGTTTGGGAGTTTGCATTCTGAAAGCAAGCGATGCAGGGGAAGAAGATAATTAATACTGTGACAGTGTTTCTTGCAAAAATTCAAATCCAGAAGCACACACAGATAAACTGATGCAGCAGGATTCATTAACTTCTTTATATTCACAATAATAGATGGAAGTATTTACAATACCAATATCGGTTCTTTTTCAACGTAGTAGCAGTTACAACACAAGGCAGGAGAGAACAGTTAGTTTCATTTTTAGCAGAGCAAACGGCATGCACAGACTGTTTGGTTTCAGTTTCAATTCTCTGCACAGAATCAGAAGCTGCAGACTAAGACACGCCCTAGCTCCAATCTGTCTCAGCTCCCAATTGGCTGACTTAGTTGCTATGCCTATTCATTGGCTGACCTTGTTACTATGTCTTCCCAGTCGTTAATATTCTAACATACATGCTCTTAGGCAGCAGGAAGAGATGGGTCAGATGGGGAAGAAAAGTGAGGGGTCCCTTGGGATCCAGGATGGTGTGGAGAGGGGAGTGTCTGCTGTGAAAAGGCTCAGCTTCAGAACATGGTTTTGGACTGTGGGTTGGGAAGGGATGGGGAATTGAAGGCCTGTCCATGAGAGTGCAGCCAACAACTCTGGCAAAGACCAAGGAACCAGGGAGGAGACGGGCTGCTCCTCGGGAGGAGGCTGCCAGAGAGCCGTTTTCTGTGGGTTTAGGCTCCAGTGGACAATGGGACAATGTCCTGAGGAACACATGTTTATTGCAAGAGGCGAATATGGCTGTGTGTAAGAATGCGCTTCTGCCCACTTGGTCACTTGGAAGTGAGCGGAGGGGAGGCCTGTAGAAAGATCAGAGCCAGCTGGGAGAGAGATTTAAGAAGTGCCAGCAGCAGCTGATCAGAGCCTGGGAAGGAGACAGAGGGAAAGGCTGAAGAACAAAAACAGGATGGGTAAAGAGGCCGAAGGTTTGCTCACTTGTTTCCAAAGCTTTCAGCTCTTCCAGTTGAGCAAAGAAAAAAAAACCCCCCCCCCCCCCCCCCCCCCGGTAACTCAGATTAAAAGACATAGCAAAGTACAAAGCATACAAAAGAAAACCACAGACCCATAAAAACCACATAGTCGAAATCCTGAGAACAAAACTCCCTGAGCCCAGACGCAGTTAAAAATGAAATTCTGCTGCCAGGAAAAACACATCCTTTCTCTCTACCCCCCCCCCCCCCCCCCCCCCAATGCTATGTGTGTCCCTGAGGCTTAACAGGCTGGAAAAAAGAGACCTTTGAACCTCCGGAGGGAGAGGCCGGGATGGAAAGCACAGCAGGTGGCAGTCCCTGGGATGGGATGCAGCAGATGGGAATGGGAGAAGGGGGCCCTGCCAGGATTAAAGCTCACCTCCAGCACCTGGAAGGGCACCCGGAAGCCCAGAGTCACCAGCAAAGGGAGCGCCCACCCTCTGGGGTGGCTCTGAAAGGGGAGGAAGCCGGTTTTGCAGCGTTTCTGTCTCCCGTTTTAATTTACTGCACTCAGCATTTCTCACGCCTTGTTGATGGGTCCTGCCTCTACGATATGTCAGTGTTGCTCAACCTTGGCCACTTTAAGATGCATCAACTTCAACTCCCAGAATTCCTCAGCCAGGGAATTCTGGGAGTTGAAGTCTACACATCTTAAAGTGGCCAAGGTTGAGCAACGCTGTTTTATGTCTGCAGAAACCTCAGTACTACGGAGGCCTCAGAGGATGCGGTGTGGTTGCCATGAGCTCGACATGAATGCCTCTTCATCCATCTCTTGCCTCCGAGAGCCTGTCCAAAGCCTGGGCCAGGCAGCTGAGCAGGGCCCGACTGGAGCCGGGTCTTCTTCTACTTCTTGTGCCATGTCCGTCATCGGACGTTGGCGATTATGTTGGTGATCCTATTTTTATCAACAGCCGCACAAAAAAGTGCTGCTGAGTTTTGTCCAAACAGTACCTCAGATTTTGAAGCCATGATGTTCTTCTTCTGCCTGGGCCTCCTTTGCCTTCAGTCTTTCCCTGGAGGATTGAGTGAAGGATGCCGTATTTCTCCAGGTGTCGCATCAGATGTCCAAAATATTCCAACTTATGCTTTTTGATGGTTTTGATGATTTCCCTTTGCTTTCCCAGGTGATT